TGTCTAGACCGTGGGACGCCCACATGTTATTTTTAGACACACATGCAATATGATTGACAAGTGTTGTAGATTTCGTTACACAAGATATTATATTCTCATGAACATGTCCGCAGAGCATTTTGCTTTTTAATTAAACTTAAAAATTCAAGGTACTTTTATGAATTAAGAGTCAGTTTCTCTATTTAACCGAACAGGCGAACAGCAAACAAAGATTAATTAGTCACTTCTGTGCACGGCTTGACTGCCAAGCTTTCTCAAGGTCTCAACTTGCTGGACGCGGATATACTCTAACGACTAACGGGCTAATAACAGCAACAATTAAATTCTCAATCATACCACGAAGAAGGCGATGTAGCTCAGAAAACAACGCCGGTAGGACCTGATATTAGAAATAAGACTTTTGCCGGCGAAGCAATTTGGCAGAACATCTTGGCTGTCAACAACAAGCTTTCGAATACATGACTAGTTTGGCTGTTCTTTCAGCGTCGTGTGTATCCAAAATTCGTCAAAGATTTTGATGAAGCCCTTTCAAAATACTGTTTGTTTGATTTATTTTCTGCCATAAAGCATAAAAGAAAAGAAATTCGAAGAAATCGATAATGGAATTTGTTACGTGCGTTTGACCTTTATATTAATTCTCGCCTTGACCAAGCTATTTTTAAAACTGTTGTTTACGTGAACTTGCAACCAATCAAAATCCTTCATGATGCTGATCAACCAATCAGATTTCCCGTCCACCAGGTGGACGGGAATCCCACACTTTAGATAGGTTTTGTGTCAGGCCCTATTCTGTGATAGGGCCTGAACTTCAGGTTAGATTCCATACAAAGTCTTTCAACTTTTGGCTGCAAAGCGCTCCTGTCTTGTCTAAATCGCTTTCTCTCTTCCCGCACGGATAACCCGCAACGCCCGCGCAATGAATATCCTAATCTACACGTATTTATCCACACAGTAGAAAAATGCAAATCTCTGATAAAAGTTAATCCTTTAATTAGTTTCACCCTAACAACACATAGCAACCGGTGTGCTTTAATATAGCTTAAATTTATTAACCTTATCCGAGTTTTAGTACTTTAAAAAACTACAACTAAAATATAGAAATCCCTTGACAATTATATATCATAACCTCTAATTTCCATGTGTTTATATAA